GCTTTGGTCCAGCAGTGGCTGCCAAATGCCAGGGTAATGGGTTGTTAACACAAAATCTACAGACATTCTGGGGCATGAAGATATGTAGTTACCATAATAATAAAAAAAACCCAAAAAACTATTACATTATTTGCAAAAAATGCCAGAAAATCCTTTTCTGGCTTTGTTTATGTCACTGGTTAACTTTGCCTTTCTTAAAATTCTGTTTTTTCTCATGTGTTCAGCACAGAAGGAAAAAGTAAAGAAAACTCTGGGAAAGTGTAGGTAGAGAATTTTCATTTCTCCAGCAGAATGGGGCTGATGCAGATGGATCTGATGTAAATATCCCCAAATAATGATGATGGTGGGTGCAGCCTCTGCTTGGCATTCACAGCATTTGTACCATGAACTGATCCATCACTTTGAGGTGCTCAAAACAGGAAAATCCCACAATTCCATTTCTGGCTTGGAAAAGTGTTCATATAGTGAAAATGATATCACAGCATGGGGAAGTATAAGAGAACAAGGAACTTTTGTTTCCATGGCAATCTGAGATCCTTCTCCAGACACAAGCACAAAGGCAATATGCTGAATGATTATCTGAAGGTCATGTTGTTCTAAGGAGAAAAAGTTAGGGAGAATGCACAGGGATAAATTCCCCAGCCAGGATGAACACTGCATTTCTAACCAGCTCAAATAAACAACTGCTGAAGGAAATAATTGCCTTCATTAATGGCATCGGTTTATTTCAAAATCTCTTTGCCCAAAGGGAACAGCAGCTTGCTCAGGAGGATATTTTGTACTATTACTTGATACGTTCAGAGACAAACATTGAGATTCTGGGTATATTTGGCAAGCCTCACCTGGTAAAATCATTGTATTCCCTTTAAAGTTCAATGTGTCTTAAAACTGAGCCAAATGTCTCCATGTAAGAGCTTGTTTATGTCTCCAGTCATTTGTTTCTGTGGTAAGAACAACTTTTTTAAGGATCTGCCTTATCAACAAGTGCAAGCAGGGCTTTAAATGCCAGGATGCTCAGGGTGAGGAGGTGAGCAGAACCTCACTACCTGTCTCTGTTACATGTGTAAGAAACAGGCAAAAAGCCACATAAACGTTCAATGCAGTTTCCTTTGTATTTCCCAGTGTCATTTTTAGGTTTCCATTTCCTCTGAGACGGTTTGACCTTGTTGACAGCAGGGGTAAATGCTTTATGCAGCACAGAAAATTACTTTAGAAAGTGTAATTCTCTTTTCTTGCTCCATTCTGTGCTTCATGATTTACTACAGAGCTGAAGTACAAAGGAACAGAAACTTCACTGGTGTTCAGGAGGAAAGTTATTTTTAGAGTCATTTTGTTGCCAAAGCATATAGAAACCTTATGTGCTACCTCAGAAAGTTACCCTGGAATGGCAAGGAAAACAGAGATGCCTGGTTTTTTGTCTTTTTTTTTTTTTTTTTCCAACCATGAAGCTTTGCTCCAAGTAAAAACTGATTTTCCAAATGAGAAGTTGCAGGAGTCACTGAGCTGTTTGAGTGAAACCTAAATGTGTGGTCACTGATTGAGGGGTATAAATACAAATCAAGATCCTCAGCAAGGACTGTGCTTACAGGTACAACTTTACTGTCTTCACAGTGAAAAGCATTCCTGAATCTGCACTTTCCAGAGTCATGTAGGTTGGAAAAGATCATTAAGTCTATCCATTAACCTGCTAACCCCACACATGTCCCCAAGTGCCACATCCACTAAGCTTTTAAATCATTCCAGGGATGGGGACTCCACCAGTGCTGTGGGCAGCTCCAAAGCTTGATCACCTTTTCCATGATGAAACCTCCCCTAATATCCACTCTAAACCTCTCCTGGCAGGGCCAAAGAAGAGCTGGGAGTGCCTCATTTTCTTGTTGAAATTAGCTTAGAGAGCAAACCATCATCTTCCAAATAATTCCTTCTTGGGAGCAGAGGGGGAAACCCTGCATGTTGTGTCTCCCTGCAGCAGGACAAACATTTCAAGCAAAGTGTGGAATGACTTCTACACTCTCACTGGCATCATTTCATGGAGGGAGGGAGGGTGATGCTAGTTACAGCTATTTTCTACAAAAATCTCAGTTTGCTTTATCTCCTTCCACATCAATGGCAGGTTTTTATAAGCTATTGTGATGTTTCCCAGGCAAAAGAAAAGAAAAAAGCCCTTAGGCCCAAAACATCTGAGCCCTCAGTGATCTTAATACTTCTGGGCCACTCTTAGAAGAAAAAACTCCTTTCCTGTAAGTTGTTTCTAGGATGCTGACAGATAAAAAACATTTTATGGTGAAGTGGATCAAAATTGTGCCTAGAGACAGACTTTTGTGTGGTCTCAACTGGCTGAATTCATGCACATCCCAAAGAGAGAGTGGGTGTGGAAGGGGAAGCAGTGAATCCATAGCCACACCCACGGAAAGTATTAAAACCCCAAAAAAGAAATACAGGGGAGCTGGTTATTTGCACAGGTTGATACCCAGGAATAGGTATTGATGAATTAATCTTTCTGAGGGGTAATTAGAGAGAGAGAGGAAAGAGGGAGTTATTTGTGGTGACTGCAGGAGGAGGAGCAGCAATGGGCTTAGTGCTGCCTCATGTCCTGCACAGTTCTTCCCAGTGGAATGCAAAATTTCCCAGAATCACATTCCTCAGTCTTTAATTAAAGTACACTCAGCTTTGTATTTTGTGAAAATGCTTCTTGTTATCCTTGAAAATGTAAATACTTGTCTCTCTGTCCATCTTTATACACTACAGCAAGTTAAATAATGATCTGCAGCTAAAGCTCCTTTACTTACCAAACAGCCAACTCCTTATTGATGTCATGGAAAAGTTTATTTTTCTACTACTTCTTTAGGTATGTGAATATTCATAATGTTTTCAGAAGACTGGCTGTGCTGCAAATGGCAGCAAAATTAAACACATTTTCTGGAGCTTGTGCTCCGCCCTCAGAAATTAGGACCAAGGAGGGAGAGGACTCTGGAAAGGGAAAATGAAGTCAGAATATTTGTGAAATCACTAAGAGGGGATTTCCAGGATATTCAGCCTGCTCCCACACTGCTCCCAGAGGCAGAGGGGACAAAACCATCTATTACTGATAAAAGGGCCTGAAAGTTTGATGGGAAGCAGCTTTTCATCAAATGAAGTTTATTTATGCATATGTATAAAACTCAGCAAAGCAGTGAAAAATAAAAGTACATTTTATTCCAGTTTTAAAAACCAAAAATTCTTATATTTATAATAGAAAGGTGCATAGTTTTCAGATTTAAAGGGAAAAAAAGTAAAAGTTCAGTGTAAAAGCTCAGTATAAAAGCACAGCTGCATTTTTATAAAAGGCAGGACAACAGACACAACAAAATCACTACATTCCTTTTGGGATAGCAACCAAGAAAGCAAGGATGATCATTGCATATATGGCACAGGATCACCCACAGCCTGGAAACCAAATATATCAAAAGATACAGGTACCAAGACATGAAATGATGCTTATTATGGTATTAAAATGATGAGAAACACACCAAAAATGTGAGCACAAAGCCAGAATAAAGACTGGGGTAACAGATGTAATGCTTTCTCCCAGCTGACTGGACCGTGGCAAGAAATACAATATACATGATGAAAATATAAGCTGGTATTATCAACACAGGAGTAAGAATTCATATTTCATGTGAGCCAACTGTTGCACATTTCCCTCAGCACTGAAGGTTATTTTAGAGGTATGAAAAAGATGAAAGATAAGATTTTGCTCTCAGACAAATTGATTTCATTAACGACACTGGCTTGCGTGTGTGTAGCACAAAACATCCTGGTCTGCTGGGAAGATGTTTCAGGGGGAGAAAACATCAGGGTTATCCCAAAAAGAGTGAGAAAAAGGGCCACAGATGAACCATGCTCTTCCTGGTTTTCAGATGGGCTGAATCCAAGGAGCTGCCAAGTACCCCAGGAGAAGCCTCTTATAACCTGGCAAGTGATCTGTGTTGAGTTGTATTAGTTATAAATATAGCTAGTTAATACAGATATTAGTTACAGATATAGTTGTAGTAGTTATAGGTAACTTGCTGTAAGTTGCTATAAAATAATAAGCTTAAATAATAAGCTTATTACTTTCTTTGGAAAAGTGGACAGAAAACAGCACAGAACTTTTCCTGTGACTCTTTCCATATTTCTGATCATTAATCCTGAATCAGTTTTTTTTTCCCTTTCCAATTAGGAGGTGGAAAAATGCAACGTGTAAGTGTATCTAAAGCTATATCATTTAAAGTATATTGTTTAAACAATAAACTATAAGTTACTATAAATTAATATAACCATAGATACATAAAATATGCTAACTATATATACAAAATTATATATATACAAAATTACATACATATAATTAGATATAAATTTATATCTATAAAATTAGATATAAATTCTATATAAAATTATATATATTATATAATATATAATTTATATAAATATATAAAAATAGAAATAATTTCTATAAATTTATATAAATATAAATATTTTATATAATATATATAAAATTATATATAGAATTATATAAAATTATATATATATAATTTTATATATATATAAACTAAAATATAGTTTTAGATCTATAAACTAAGTTATAGAAGTTATATATATCTATATAACTTATATAGAAGTTATATATATCTATAACTAAGTTACATAGAAGTTTTGTTGTCATACGGATCCAAACTAATAAAAAGAAGGAGGGCTGAGATTGATGCTTACTGGAGACGGCTCCTACTTTGTAAAAGCTAAAAGGGGGGGAAAGCGCCACGAAAGGGAATAACTTTAGTGGAATGAGGATTCTTTGCCCCAGTGCCGCCCGCCCCGCGTCCCCGGCGCGCCCAGGGCGGCGGTGCCAGCGATGACCCCTGCCAGGCTGGGGCTCTGCGTGCCCACCCCCATCTCCCGGGGGAGGGAAGCGCTTTGGCCGCGGGCTGGGAGGAGAAGGCTGCCTGCCAAGCCGCCTTGCCTTGGAATCAGCGCTCTCTTGGATGAGCGGCGCGCAGGAGGAGCGAGGAGTCCGGGCGCGGAGCGGGAACGGCCGCGGAACCGGGGCTGGGACACGGCGGCACCGAGAGCGGCGGGGCCGGGCAGGGAGCGGCCAGCGGGCATCGCAGCTGCGGGCGAGTGTCTGAGTGTCCGTCTGTCCGAGTGTCCGAGTGCCCGTGCGTCCGTGTGCCCGACTCTCCGTGTGTCCGAGTGTCCGTGTGTCCGTGTGTCCGAGTGTCCGGCGGTGCCCCCTCCCCGCAGCCCCGTCCCGGCTCGGGCTCCATCCCCCGCCGCTCCCGGAGCGCTGTTCCAGCTGCCCAAACTCTCTTTGCCCGCTCTCCCAATAAAGTTCCGGGACTCCTGCGCAAGGCAGCGATGATCGCCCGTGGCCGCTCCGGACTCTGCCTCGCTCTCTGCACCTTTGGGCTGGCGCTGCTGGGGGATGTGTCCCGGGCTGTCCCCATGGACGATCAGGATTATTACCTGCAGGAAATCACCAACAGGGATCATTATTACTCCTTTCCATACCCCGGGGAAGAGTTCTTTCCTTTCACGGAGCAGCCCAGAGAGGAAGGACCTATCCGTGCTGCTGAGAGAGAGGAGCAGCCAGGGTTCAAACCGAGCAGGAAGGAGTTAAAACAGAAGAAAAACAACAAAAAAGGAAAACCCATTCTTGAACCGCCACCAGGTAACTTTCCACCTTCTCCTCCAGAGTTTGGAGCCTGCTGAATCTCACGCTGACTGTGACTTCTAGCATTAATGAATATCCAGTTAATGGCAGTCTTGGTAATAATAACAATAAATGTGGTTGTGGTGATGATGATGACAACACATTAAATTTTAATATCCCACAGAACAGAACTTTTACGTACTTTGAAACAACATCTACTTGAAAGGGAAAGAGTTAAAGAGTCGGAATGTAGTAATTCTGCTGTACTCTGGCTAGTCTGTGGACTTTTCCTTCTTAATTATTCTTAATTACACTTGGCAACTGGCTTGCTGTGAAAGCTGCTGTTCTATAAGCAAAAGAACAGAGGCAGATTTCATAGTAAAAGGTGATTATATATAGTGACATCTCACCTTATCCCTTGTCACTTTAATCTAAGAGAGGCTTCTGAATTAATTTCACTTCTAAACCTGTGAATTTCTCTGAGATTTCACTTTTAAGCCCTCCAGAGGAAGATATGTAAACAGAGATCTTCCTGGAAAAGACTAAGCCCTAACAAACTCCATTTAATTATCGACCAGTTAAGTAAAGAAATTAAACAGCAACAAAAAAGCCTTATAATAAAACGGCCACCCTTAATTCTATTTTCTAAAGTTTGCAGAAACTTGATCAGCCTTTAGCACCCACTTGTTCCCATTAACACCTGATTGCACCACCCCAAAAGAGAAATCCCTTTCTATGTTCCCTGACTGGCTGGTGGGTATTTTACTGGTTTGGGATACTTAGGAGTGAGTTTGGTCCATGAAGTTTAGAGTTGTAAAATTTGGGGCCAAATCTCCCTCCCCTGCAGCTGAACTTCCCTTTACTTCAGGAGGAAACTTCGTGTTAATGACTGGGGCATATGGCACAAAATCTGTGGTTTAGAGCCATCAGTACAGCAAAACGGGGGGCAGGGGTTGTAGGGTGGCTTTGCCTTTGTCCAGTGACATCCAGCAGATAGCAAACAAGATATTTGAAATTTAATGTTGACACTAATAGAAATTAATTAGCATTCTTGCAGCAAAAATATGGGCTTTTATACTAATAAATAGTGATAAGAAAGTGTAGTTTCTGACATTTCTAAAACCACCTGTGGGGCAAGCAGCATGGCTTGTCAGGGTAAACTCCAGGTAGAAATTAAGGGTGGTGGCAGATGCACCTTGTCTGGGGAGCAGAGACACAAAACATTTGTGTCCCTGTCCCCTCAGGGGCCAGCAGCTTCCCAAGGGGATGGCACTGCCTGGACCATCTCAAGTTCATTATCTCAGCATGGTCACTGCAGTCTACGGGAGATCTTCTGAGAATGTTCTTGTTCCAATGTGTCATTGGCTCGGTTGTTACATTAAGGAAAAAGGCTCTGCTTTCCACCTCCACAGACTGAATCAGGTGGATTGACAGGACAAGGGGGAACCACTTCCCACTGCCAGAGGGCAGGGTTGGATGGGACATTGGGATGGAATTGTTCCCTGTGAGTGTGGTGAGACCCTGGCACAGGTGCCCAGAGCAGCTGTGGCTGCCCCTGGATCCCTGGCAGTGCCCAAGGCCAGGCTGGACACTGGGGCTTGGAGCACCCTGGGACAGTGGAATGGACTGGATGATGTTTTAAGATTCTTTCCAGCCCAAACCATTCCATTAATTCATGACCATGGATATTAAACTCTGTAATTAGGTTTTTGATCCCTCATTGTGGTGGAGACAATCAAGATGCCCATCCTGTGGTGGGATGTTCTGTGGTTCCTCTCTGCTTTCGTGTTCTCTGTTGGCTTTTTTCCCAATTTTCCCAGCACTTGGGCATTCACACTTGCTCCATACATGTCACTGATGGGAAGAGAATCCAATCCATGAGGGCAAAGTTAATTTTTCTTTACAAACTGGCATCTTCCTCGTTCCCCACCTGCTGCACTGAGCACAGCGGGAGAGGCTCATGGTGCAGCACCAAAAGCAGCTGCCAATGGCTCAATCCCTCCTTCTGCAGCAAGTTTGGGCTCTTTGGACATGGCTGAGCTTCCAAGCTTTCACCAGCCATGTGCAGTAAGAGGTTTCAAAGCCTCTGAGCTTTGAAAGTACAACAAGCACCTGATCTCTTCCACCAAAATCCTTCTCCTTGATCCAGGACATGGGTGATTGATGTCAACTCAGCAAACTGGACTTATTTATCTGGGAAAATTCAGTGGATTTCCCTGGGAAAAGCTGAACAATTTTAACTGCAAGAGGCATCACAATCCCTGAGGTGAACAGCCAGTGAGGAGAATGGTCACCACTTGTTACAGATGGGAGTGAAAGCAGGAGGGTTCCAGCAGGAGGTGTCAGGCAGTTTCAGCTGCAATGTTAGAAGTCCTGGCTATAATATTTAAATTTTCTCCTTTCTCCTCACCCAGAGATAGGCAAGGGCAAGGTCCTGCCAGGGCAGTAACTGTGATGCTTGGTGCTATGTCCCCATGTCACCAGGGATCAGTTTGGAATGAAGATCTGACAGTCTGGCCCTCACAGAGATGTTGAAATACTAATACATACCTATATTTACTCACATATGGATGTTAAGAGGCCAGCTAGAAATAATAATAGCAGCTGTCAAAGAGATATCAATAATAATAACCATAAATCTGGCTGGGTAAGGATGTGTCCTCTGCTTATATGTACACAACTGTGTTTATGCATCTCTCCAGAGGTGGAATTAATTTATTGGACATGCTGTAAATACCGAAATTTGGGGTTTGTGAGGCTCACTGGCAGCCAGGACATGTGGGATTAATTAGTTGTAACAAACAATAGCCTGGCTGGGAGCTGGGATGGGGAAGGAGGAGCAGTGGGAATGTGTGATGTGCCCTTTGGCTGAGCAGCTGGTCCTGATCAACCCCAGCTTTGAATCAAAATGGAAATCAAATGGAGCAGTCTCAAGGACATGGCACTAAACAGATGACACACACTCCATTTATTTCAGCTAATTACTGAAGGTGGCCAGAATATAGATATTTTCAGTCTGTGAAATATTAATGTAGAAAGAAATCCAACGGATGCCAGCGGGATTGCTATTTTTGGTTTAAAATATTAGAATCAATATTTGCAAATAGTCAATTCAGGTAAAAGTTGAAAGTATCAATCTGCCTATTTGCCCTTTAAATGCCTCATAAATTAAGTGGTACTAGGTCATCTTTGGAAGGCAAACAGTTGGATTGACAGGTTTTGTGTATATAAACAGATTTCCATTTTCTAATTCCGTCCTTGTTTGTGTAGGCCTTTGTCCAAAGCCCAATCAAATCAGTGGAAAGAGTCTTGTTAACATCAATGTTTTTCTTTTATGAGGCTTTTAATAGTTTGATGTATGGTACCTCAGCTACCATCTGTGGGGCAGATCCCCTCAGAGTCTGGGGGTCTGACTACAGGCAAAAATTCATCATCAAGAGATTTCTAGGGCTGAGGTGCCCAATAACACTCCTCAGTGTAGCCCAAATCTGCCACAGTGAAGTTTGTAATTATTTTGATTTGATCTACAAACTTGTAGTTCTTGTAGAGCCATACCTCAATTCTGAATGTATTTAGAAACTAAAGGAGTGATGTTTATTTGTATGGCAGTGCTCAGAGTGGGGCTTAGAGCACATTTGTTCTGTATTTCCCAGTGTTTGATCTCTGCACAACCCAACATTTGTCTGTGTTTAGCTGAAATCAGGATTTCCTTTGTCTCATCTCATTTGGTGCTTTCCCCAGGCTTGATGAAACTCCTCGGATGCATCTGTGTTTACTTGACCCGTATTTGTTTATTTTTCTGCAGTCTTGCCACCTGTTCAATAATGCAATTCTTAAGGGGTTTGGTCTATTTCTTTTTAATTCCTGTAGTGCATAGGATGGGCCAGGTCCTTCCTGGGACATGTGTGTGAGGAGGAGTCAGTAAGGGAAGGCAAGGAGAGGATAAAATGGACAGTGCAGGCAAACATGGAAATAATCTAGCAGAAAGAATGTGAATTCATAAAAATAGACCAATAGTACTTTAATTGAGATGTTTATCAAGCTAATGAAAGCTTGGAGAGAGATCAGTGAGTGAATGAGGAGGGAAAGCTGAATCACAGGGATGTTATTCAGGAAAAGCTGGAGATTATTTTGGTGCGAAATGGGGGCGAAGTTCTGAGGAGTGTGTGAAGTTAAAAACATGGCAGGTTTGGGGTGTTGCTGGCATTTGTGTGGAGATTTTGTTCACTAGAAAGAAGAAGAAATGACAGAGTGCCACAGAAGGCATTGAACTGACAGCTGAAAGCACTTGAGACCTGGTCACCAAGACACAGCAGCACAGAATCCCTCGTGTGCTGGGGAACCACCAGTGCTGCTCTTTTCCAGTCCTTTGGGGCCCCTCTCTTAAACCTTCCTTCTCTGAGCAGCTCCAAGTGGAGCCCTCCTGTGACCTAGAACACAGATTTTAATTTTAAAGCTTTTGTTTACACTTCTCCTAATGGAAACTCCTAAGAATGGACTTCCTGGCCCTAGGTGGGTATCCCATGAATTTTAATACGACCTGTATTGCATCCTAATTGCCATATGTGACAAGCAATGTGGCTTTTAATGAGTTTTCTTTCATCTACCAGCCTCTATTTTCTCCTCAGCACTTCTAAAATATGCAGAATAATGTAATGTTCACTATTCCATTTAAGAGCCCATCCTTTAAAGAATGTCACAACAAAAGAGGACAAGGGATGACTAAGAATGAATAATAAGCAATACCCTCAAAATTGGCCCAAATCTTTTTGATTAGCATCTTTCCTTACCCATAGCTTCAATGAATAATGTAACATGAGAAAGAAAAGAAAAAAGGGAATAAACACATTTGATTATGCCAGAGAAAACCACTTTCAAAGATAATTCTTCCAGCAGCCTTCTCTGAATTCAACCTCATGTTTAAGGTGAGAAAAACGTCTCTTTAAAAACACATCTTTAAAAGAGGGATGGTTTCACTGAATAGATTTTAATATCTCAACCTGAGCCTAGAGCTGTTC